TCTCTGAAGGGGCGTCTACTCCCACTTGCTCGTGGGTAACATACAGGGCCTGGCGCACCCTGGGGTATGGGCCATGGCTCCGCTGGGGCTCAAACCCAGGACCTTCTGCGTGTAAAGCAGACGTGCTAACCACTACTCTATGGAACTACCCCGAGTGCCTTCTTAAGATGCCTTTTTCATTATCCATTATTTCAAGTGCACAATTCAGTGATTTTTAGTTACTTTCTGAATTGTGCAACCACCATTATAAATCAGTTTTAGAATATTCTCATCTCCTCAGTAAGATTCCTCATGAGCATTTACAGTTAAATCCCTGCTCACACCCTTAGGTCTACTTTCTGTTTTTAAATTTGCCTTTTTTGGTCATTTCATGTAAATAGGACCTTATAATATGTGATCTCTTTTTGTTTGGCTTCTTTCACTTCTCATGGTTATGTGATTTCATCCATGATGTGACTAACGTGTCAGTCTGTTCCATTTTATTGCTGAATTATCTTCCATTTTATGGTTATACTACATTTTGTCTAAACACTCACAGTTGAAGGATGTTTGTTGGTTACAGTTTTTAGCTATTAAAAATAAGGCTTGTATGAACAAGTGCGTGCAGGCCTTTCTGTAGACACATTTTCATTTCTCTAGGAGTAGAATTGTCGAATTGTTATTTTTATGCTAAACTTTTTGAGAAACTGCCAAACTGTTTTCCAAGTCCGTGTTCCCTTTTACATTCCTCCTATCAGCGATGTATGAGGACTTCAGTTTCTTTATATCTTTAATATTCGTTCCTCTTTTTCTTTTTTCTTTTTTTTTAACAGTTCTTATTTGTCTTATTTAATATAGCTATTCTGATGGGCATGAAATCGTAGGTCATTGTGGTTTTAATTTCCATTTCCCTAATGACTGATGATGTTGAGCATCTTTTCATGTCTTATTAACCATTCATTTATCTTTGGTGAAATATCTACTAATATGTTTTGCTCAGTTTTTGATTTGGGTTGTCTTAGTGAATTGGAAGAGTTCTTTATATATTCTGGATACAAGTCCTTCACCAGATATATGCTTTGCATATATTTTCTTCTGGTCCTTTGCCTGTCTTTTCATTTTTTAAATGGTATCTTTTGAAGTGTATACTTTTTAATTTTGACGAGGTCCAGTTTATCATGCTTTCTGGTATAGAAATTTGGCCAGCTCAAGGTCTTAAAGATTTTCTCATGTTTTGTTCTAAAAGTTTTATCGTTTTAGTTCTTGTATTTATATAAGTATATGATCCATTTTGAGTTAAATTTGTGTATTGCATGAGGTGATGGTCCATCTTTTTGCAGGCATCATTGGTATAGGGTGTTAATTTTTTTTAAAAGTGAAATCTTCCTCCTCCTTTCTGTTTCTCAGTCTTTCCCTTCCATCTCTCCCATACATAACTATAAACACATGCATATGCATTTATAGCTCAAAAGTTCATAATCTGTCTGAGGCTAAAGAATGGAAGCATTTAGTTTTATTACCATGATAGAATTCCTATCTTCTTAAAATTGATTCTTCCTTTCCTTTAAATTCAAGATTGCATTTGTCCTTAGTCCTTTAAGAAGAGCATAGTTCAAATACAAAATGGTGTCTCTGTTCCTCCCTGAACTACAGTAGATAGTTCTAATTTATTGTTCAGTAACCTGTACTAATTTTAGGTTGTTTACTAGTCTTATATATGCCTATAAGTAGTTCTCCATTCTAAATGGAAATGTGGTATTTTTTTGATTTCTTACCTGGTTCTCTGAAAGTGACTTATCATCTGTAAAATTAACCAGGTGAGAATTAACTTTCTCTGGGGCTCAGTATTGTGCACTAAAGACAATTAAT